CCCCTTGTCCCGGGATCGCTCCGTCGCACCCACCATGATGGAAGACGACGGACAGCCCCGGACTCTGTGAGTACCCGAGACCGGGGGTGCCAGGCGCCGGAGGCCCAGGCACCGCGGGACGCAGAGGGAGGGAGCTTGAGACAGAGGGCCGAAGCCGGGACTCCCGGCAGACCTCTGGCCGGGGCGGTGCGGACGCGAAGTGCTTTCCTCTCCTCGTCTGTCCCCCTTTCCTTGGGAAGGAAGCCCTCCCTTCCCCCAAACGCTGTCACTTCCTGGGGTCTGGGGCTTGTCTCGACCTTTTCCTCTCGCGCCCTTCGTGTACCCTTCCTAGGCCTGGTTTTTGCACGGCTGAAGCTGTCAGGCCCACGAGAGCGCCTACTCTCCTCCACTTTGGGGGGACCTGGGTTGGGCCGGGAGCTGCTAGTCCCCGCGGGGCCTGGTGGGGCTGGGACGCCGCGGCATCCCGTGCAGGCCTGGAGAAAGGACCCCTCGCGCCCTCCGCTCCCTCAGCTCCAGTCGATCCCAACTCTTTTTCCGAGTTAAGCTCTCCGAGGAAGCTGGACACTCGTCGGCTACTAGAGCCCCTTCTCTCCTTCTGCCCCACGTGCCCCCGCCCACGCTGTCAGCAACACCTGCCCGGCGCCCGCTACTTTTGAAGTGCGAGAGGGATGCTTCTCGCTGCCCGAGCATCTCTCCCTTCTTGGATAACAAAGTTTACGTTGAGCGCTCCCTGTGCCAGACTGACAACCAGTTGTTAAACTCCTTTTGCTCTCGGTGTTGCTGCTGCTTAATCTGTGCGTCCAGGCCATCAGAATTGGATACAGCGCCTTCATTCGCTATTCGACGTGTGTTCGGGGGCGCTTTTACTCCAGTCTTGCTGTTGCATTTTTACCTGAAGCCCAGTCTAATGAATGAATTCATCTTGCAACTGCTTAATTCGAGTTACTTCCTTTCCCAATGAAGAGTGATGACTCAGCAGTTCCATTCCTTTTGGGATCGTGCGGCACGCTTTCCTTTATTCTGTATTTTTAAGTCAGAGCAATTTCTAATTCAGTGTTTTAATGGAGCACCTTCGCTTTTCCCGGTCTCTCTAGATCCAATACTCCTATCTTAAGGACAAGGGGTTAGTTCGCAGCATTGTTTCTCCTTCCTCTACCTGTTACTGGTATGATCAGAGTTCACTTGGCTGGGTTAACTGATGGAGCAAGTACTTTTTAGGGGAATAGATAAAAGTGAATGGGCACTTAGGAAGTTTGATTAAGCTCTCAGAGCATTCCTACCTGAGATGTGCTCAGTAAAGAAAGTTGATGTGTATGTTTAATCTTTATACAGATTTTTTTTCCAGCCCTGTTCTTTTTCTTTTTATTCCTGTTTCTTTTAACGTCTCACTAAAGTATTTGCCACCCTGTTTTAGGAATTTGAAGCCAACCTAAGCACATCATTACCCTGAATGAAAAGCGTACTTAATGAACTTTTATGCATATATATATGTGTGTGTGTGTTGTGCACACACACACACACATATATATGTGTGTGTATGTTTTATATTTTCCACTTCTGCCTTCTCCCAGAAAAAAAGAATTGGAACAAATTCGAAATTTGCTCTTGAGCATTTGTTGAAGCCAAGACTTAGTATTTGTAATGCAATGTATACTTTGATGAAAGCATCTGGAAAAGCTAGATTTAGGGCTAAGTAGCTTGTATTTAAGGAACGTAACAGTTGTATTTTATCTAAAGTACTGTATTTGAAATGTCATCTTTGCATCGTAATAGCTACTGAATCATAGTTAACTCATGGCACATGTCTTATTGACTCCTTATTCCTTGGAAGAAGAATTCCTGATTTTGTCCTACTACATAATATACTTTTTCAGGGGCTGGGGTTATAGCTCAGTAGCACATCATTGCCTAGCATGCATGAGGCCCTAGGCTCAAGCCCCACCAAAAATAAAAATATCTGAATGCTGTATTCATAAATATGCTTTTTCAGTATCCTTTATTCCTTGAACTATCTTTGTATCTATTTTGTTTTCATCTGTATCATATCTTCTTCAGGAGACTAATAACCTAATTCTGTACTTATATCCTAATTCCACCTTCTTCGATCCCTTCCTTACCCCCTTCCCCCCAACCACACTTAAGTTGTTTGTTAAAAATGTGACGTGTACCTATGGGCAGATAAATAGCTTAAGCTCTGTCATTCCTGTATGTCAGTATATGTTTGCTATTTTGTCTTCCCTTTTTCCTTCTCCCACTCTTCTTCATAGGAAGGGTTTTTGTTTGTGTTTTTTTTAGACAAGGACTGCTACACCTTCCTAGGTCTTATCACTCCAGCACTTAGTTCACTGCCTGGAACCTAAGAGGTACTCAATAAGTATTTTACAATGATTATACTTCTTTCATTAAATTAGTATTAAGTTCTTTTTTTTAACTCCTGATTGATTTATAGGTAGACCTACTGTCATACGTAGTGCAGTTTATTGGTTTTTATATATATTTTTAAAGACCTTCAAAGATAAAATCGTGAGAAAAAAGCAATTCAGATTTTTTTTTTTTTTTTGTCAGTTTAAAAAAATAAGACATAGTAAATTTTAGAGCTGGGCATGGTGGTGAATACCTGTAATCCTAGCACTTGGGAGGCTGAGGCAGGTGAGTGGCCTGGAGTTTGAGGCCAGCCTGCGCTACTTAATGAATTCAAGGCCAGACTGAATGATGAGACCCTCTCTCCACAAAAAATAAAAGAAAGTATACATTTTTTATATTTCTTTAAGAGATCAGTTAGATACAAGTAATATTACAAAAACTTTGAACGTGGTTTTAAAGGTTGTTATTAAGTAGAGTTTTGTTTATGGAGAGCCTGTATTTTGCATTGTGAACTATCCATTAGGATTTGAAGTGGTTAGTATGTTTTAAAAGATTATACTCTTAACAAAAGCTTATCTTAACTTGTTTCCTTAAAATGCCTGTGTGTTACTAGTGAGGTTTTTTTCCTGCAGACACACACAAGCTAAGACATATGGTTCTATCTTCAGAAAACAATATGGTGTTTATAGCCTAGGTAGGTCTTTAAATATTCATTACCTACAATATTACTAATTTATTTGATGGTATATTAAAGTGGTATAGAATTGTTTTGATGTTGAGCCTAAAGTTCTGTTTGTTATATAGTTGCTTTAAAGGTCTGTTTTCTGATCTTCTCATTTGACATTTATTTTGGGGTATTGTACTGGGTAACTTGTGATCTTAAAAACAAAATCATGCCACATAATAGTGGTGTTTGAAGTGCACCACCTTACAGGACACAAGTTTCAGTCTTGTGTTGTATCTTTGTATTGCAGGGATTTGATCCATGGTTTATCTGAATCTGCAATGGTACTAAATCATATTAGTGTTCTGTTGTAGTTCATTTTATTCATCTCTGATCCACCAAAATCAGTAGGAATTGTGGATCTGGGATAATAATAACCATATTATTGCAGTGCAATCCTTTTAAGGCTATTCATTCTTCCTGATACTCAATCAAAAGAAGGAAATAAACCAATGATTTAGACTATAATCTGAACATTTAAGGAAAAAGCAGAACATCAGTTGCATTATAAAATTGCCTAGCTGTATCATGGATCTGGCTACATTATGGCTATCATCAAGCCCCTCAATCTACTTAATTATATTGTTTCTTTAAAAGTGTGTGTGTGTGTGTGTGTTCCATATAGATAGTAGGTCAGTTCAATTGTACAACTTGCATTTTTCCTCCATCCTGCCTCCTTCCTAAAAATGAAATGTTACCAAATTTAAAAAGTCATTAGAGGTCTGTTGAAGGATGTTGTTCCAAAATTTCTTGTATAGGAATTAATTACGTACAAAAGCAGAAATGTTACTTTTATTGAAATTTAGCCATAGTATTTTATATAAAACTACTTGTAATTTCACCTTGGTAGGGCTACTCTTTTCAGAATGAGAACATAGTCACTGTTGAAAATGCTCATGAGTCTTCTGCAAGGCATGATGTCTTAACTTAAAATTCCACTCTGTTGGACATAGGAAATAGTTTGGCAGTATGAACTTCTCTGCCTACTGTGATATGAAACTGCCAAATTTCTAGTCTCAAATTGAATTTTAACTCTGATGTTAAGGATAAAGGTATCATTTTGTTTTTAATGCTTCAGTTCTTACAGTTTCTGTTCTAAGAAGGCAGGACTATAAAGTGTGTCTTTTATTTTTTTTCCCTTGAGTTAAAAAATCATTTTGGAATTTCCTAGGTTATTTTTTCTTTTGAATTGACCTCTAAGAATTCAAGTCATTTGTCATTTTTCTGTTATTTTGTATATGCTCTTCAGTTAGAAAATATATATTTTAAAATTTGGAGCTTTAGAATATGTCGATTACTTCATAACCACAGCACAAAGTTTAGAGATTGTCATTTGGAAAGGAAAGTAAGATAATCATTTCAGTAAGCTGCTAAAAAGATAGCTGGGCACATTGTCTGTGCCTGTAATCCCACAACTCTGAGAAGCCTGAGGCAAAAGGATCACAAGTTTCAGTGTAGCCTCAGTAATTCAGCAATTTAGCCAGATCCTGTCTCAAATAGATAAATAGATTAAAGGTCTGAGGATATAGCTCATTGTGAATTTAATTTTTGGCTGCCCCCCCCAAAAAAAACCTGGAAAAGATGGTGCTCACTGGATCAAGTATTAAACTTTGCTTTAAATATTTTTGGTAGGGTTCAACTTGGGATAGATTATTTTATGACAATGTAGAGGTACTTAAACATAGTATTTTCAGAGCTATAAAATGTGCCTCTTTAAGTACAGTGATCCATGCAGGAATGTGTAAATGTGTGAATTATAGAACTCTGTAAAAAAACAGGCAGTCTGAAATTTGGGTAAAATTTAGGTTCAGTTATATAGTGAATTGTGTCCTTTTTATCGGGGTAAATCAAGTTATTGTATGTATTGTTGTGGAAGCCCTTTTGTGTTAATGTTTGAAACCTAGTTTGCTGCTTTACCATTTACCTCTTTGTAGAGATACTTAAATAGGAAACCTTAAAACTGGATTTTTCCTATAAATCATTCTAGACTTGTATATACTGACATTTTGATCTTCAGCATCAGTACTAGAAACACAGATTACATATATGTGTATATATATCTATATTATCAATCTATTACTGATTGTAAATAGGTTAACTTAGAATAAAATTTCTAGCCGGGCATGGTGTCGCAGGCCTGTAATCCCAGCACTTGGGAGGCTGAGGCAGGAGGATCACTGTGAGTTCGAGACCAGCCTGGCCTACACAGTGAGTTGCAGGTCAGTCTCAACTACATAGTGAGACCCTGTCTCAAAAAAACCTAAATAAATAAATAAATAAATATTCTATTAAACAGCAACAAATTTATTAGATATGGAAGGTAATTAATGCCCGCACATTTTTTCCTGAACAGATGGTTTAAACATTGACAGATTTTAAACTAAATCACAAGAGTGTGGTGGTGCACACGTGTAATCCTAGAACTTGAGAGGCTGAAGCAGGAGGATAACAAGTTTGAGGCAAGCCTTTGCTGTATATAGCAAGACCCTGTCTCAAAAAAAAAGTAACAGATTTAAATCATTCCATTGTTTGTTTTTGGTACCAGGGATCAAACTCTGGTCCTTGTGCTTGCAAAGCAGGCAGTAGAACCACTGAGCTAAATCCCTGGCCCCTAAATTTTTTATTTTGAATTATTTTCTCTACTTTTCTTTTTTTTCTGGTACTGGGCATTGAACTCGGGTCCTTGCACTTGCAAGGCAGGCAGCAGAACCACTCAGCTAAATCCCTGGCTTATTGTTATTAGCTAGCTTCAACATGTGAAAATTAGTCTTATTCATTCTTCTCTCTTTGAAATGAACCTTTAGGTTAGATAACCATAGTATTTAAAACATTAATATCAGGGGCTGGGGATTTAGCTCAGTGGTTCTGCCACCTGCCTTGCAAGCTCAAGGTCTTGAGTTCAATCCCCAGTACAAAAAATTTTAAAAAATCAATATTACCTATTTTCCTTGGCGATAGGTCTCCCTTGAATAATAAAAATAAATTGCTGATGGTTACAAGTTCACAAATCTCTATGAATTAAAAAAGGACCAGGCAGTTAGTTGTCTGTGGCTAGCTCCTAATCCTAAAACACTTTCACTACTGCTGGGAAAATAAATCATTGCACTGGCTTACACATGGATCAGCTCCAGTTTAATTATAAGGAAAATATGGCAAACTACACCTAAAGCACTTTGTGAAATGATTTGATATCTTATGTTGGACTTGTATTTCATTTATAGAACGTGAACAATAAGATTATCAGTACTCACTGAAAGAAGGATTTTTTGCGGGGGTACCAGGGATCAAACGTGGCAAAGCAGGTGGCAGCACCACTGAGCTAACTCCCCAGCACACACGGAAATTAACTGGGAAATTACTACTCATTCTTAATTGGGGTCTTTGTGGATTGTTTTGTTTTGTTTTGCTTAAATTTAGCTTTCTTGGTCTGTTGGGGTTTTTTTTTTGGTACCGGGGATTGAACTCTGGTCCTTGCGCTTGCAAGGCAGGCCACCGAACCACTGAGCTAACCCTGGTCCTCTGTTGGGTTTTTTTGTTGTTGTTGTTTTGGTTTGGTTTTTTTTTTTTTGCCTGTTCCACTTCAAGATGATTAATGTACTTAATGTGAAACTATGTTGCAAAGCTTGATATTTGACTGTACTTAGTTTTTAGATACTGTGGTTAGAAAAATAAAACTTACATCCTTTTACTTTCCAGAAAGAAATTGTTAAAATTTACAAGTACTGTACTGTTTAGTTTCTGAGTTGTTCATGACATATGCAGATTTGAGGACATCTTCGCTGAGTACCAGAAAGAGTTAAAAGTTTGGTAGTTTATTGAGATAAGTCAAATCTATGGTGCAAGACATAAGCCAAATGTGGTTGTCTCTGAGTCGTGAAGTAGTGATCTCTTTGTTTAAAATTTATATACAGAAGGGCTGGGGATTTAGCTCAGTTGTTCCGCTGCCTGCCTCACAAGCACAAAGACCCGAGTTCAATCCCTGGTACCCAAAAAACAAACATATACAAAATACATGTATTGAATTTATGACTAGGAAGAAAACCCCAAATCTGAAATCTGTATTCAAAAGTATATGTGGATTTTTAAAAACCTTTTTTGAATTTCAAAAGCAGTCTTTATACTTTATTGTATATGTAAAGATGTATTTTTGTTGAACCTGATACACTTTTGACTAGGAGATTTTATCATTTTAGTCTGTCCTAAAACAAAACAATAAAGATGTATCATTGTTAGCAGTCTTATTTAACAAAAAATTCCTTTTTTTTTTTTTTTTTGTACTGGGGATTGAACTCAGGACCTTGCCCCCTTGCAAGGCAGGTGGCGGAACCACTGAGCTAGATCGCCATCCCGCCCTCTGTTTTAATAGAACTTTACCCTTAATTTTTTTTTTGTTTACACAATTGCTTAGTTCAGAGTCTTAAGATGAACCTACTTTATGTTTACTATCCTTTTATGATCAACTATTTTAGTGACTCAGTATTTGTCATATTTGTATATGTTTGAATTATTTTGGGTTAGACATGTTTCTTGAGACTGGTTTAAATTTTTTTATGGTTAAAAATTGAGTTGACAATATACAAGGTACAGAATAAAACCTTTGTATACCAAAGTCATATTGATTTGTTCTTTATACTATCCTTTGAAATGGTGTGTTAGTGGCTTAAGAACAGATACTGTTTTCCTAAATAAGGGTTAATCTTACTTTCATAGGATCAGTATCACTTAGAGTTTTATTGAGGACACAGGAAGTTAAAGTGAAATAAAAGGTGAATTAAATGATAATACATTGAGCCAGAGCTAAAGAAAAATTGCTAACGGTATATATATATTTTTTTTGTTCAGATATGTAGGTAACCTCTCCAGAGATGTGACAGAAGTCCTTATACTTCAGTTATTCAGTCAGATTGGACCCTGTAAAAGCTGTAAAATGATAACAGAGGTAAGATCTTCCCAGTTACACGTGCTGTGAATTAGCATGATGTCTAACACTTTGAGATACTTGGGTTGATGAGCAATATTTTAAAAATTCTTGCTTTTTTACTTTGAGTTGGCAAATAAAGTAGACTTAGAATGGAGCCAAGAGGGCAAAGTTTCTGTCCTGTTACTCTCAAGCATTGTCATGATGTCATTATCTTCAAAGTAATATTGCTTGTAAACTGTTTATCTAAAATGGTGAAGGCCGGGTGTGGTGGTGCATGCCTGTAATCCCAGCACTGAGGCTGAGGCAGGAGGATCGCTGTGAGTTGGAGACCAGCCTGGGCTACATAGTGAATTCCAGGTCAGTCTCAACTACAAAGTGAGACCCTGTCACCAAAAAAAAAAAAAAAAAAAAAAAGTGAATACTTGATGGCATTTCATACAGTTCTAATAAGAATGTTAGTAATTCAAACAGTATATATTTAACATTTAGGAATTGGTGTGTAGAAAAGAACATAAAGTTATGTGCATAGTGGGGGGCAGCATCTGTCTTGTGCATCTTTAGTGAATACTAGTGATGGGCAGCTTTATGTAGGTTGGCATTGAAATTGTTACAGTAATTTTTTGTTTGTTTGTTTTTTGAGACAGGATAGTTCAGACTGACCTGGAACTCACTATGTAGCCCAGGCTGGTCTCGAACTAACAGCGATCCTCCTGCCTCAGCCTCCCGAGTTCTGGGTTTACAGGCGTGTGCCACCACGCCCAGCTTACAATAATAATTTTGTTGGGGTTGGGGATGTAGCTGAGTGGTAAAGTGCATGCTTGGTATGAGCAGGGCCTTGGGTTCTATTCCCAAAACCAAAATAACAAAGTAATTTTGTTGTCCTTTATTCAAAGAAAACTTGTATACTTTCTCAGTTAAGACTCTAGTAGTACCCAGTGACTCATGTTGTAGTTACTCTTTTCTTCTTATCTTTCTATTTATTCATAAACTTTTTATTTTTTTGGTACTGGGGATTGAACTCAGGACCTTGCGCTTGTGAGGCAGGCAGCAGAGCCACTGAGTTAAATCCCTGGCCCTTCATAAACTTTTTTTTTTAAACTACCATGTTCTAGTTACTTTGGTAAGTGCAAGGGATAAAATGGTGAATGAGACCATTCCTGGCCCTATAAGATTTTATAGTGAAGGAAGAAGGCAGAACAGTTAGTGGTTACTTGGGATATAGAATAAAAAATATTATGGAAAACCTTAAAATACTGTGGGAACACATAGAGAGGTTATCCTATGAAGTCTTAGGATAGGGCATACTTCTTGGAGGAGTCAGTGCATGGGCTGAACCCTAAAAGAATAATAATAGAAACTGGCTAGAAAATAATTTGGGGGTCAGGATGGTGGCACATGCCTGTAATCCAAGAACTCTGGAGGCTGAGGCAGGAGGATCGCTGTGAGTTTAAGGACAGCCTAGTCTCCATAGTGAGTCCAAGGCCAGGCTGAACTACATAGCGAGACCTTGTGTCAGAAGAAAGTGAAGAAGAAAGGAGTATAGCTAGAACAGTGTTGATCTAGGCTGGTAGACAGAAAGAGCTGGAATGTGTGTGACAGAGAGGGAAAAATAAATAGAAATCTACTTTCTGTTAGAAACCTCTGTTCAATAGTTGCATGATTAGAATTTGAGATGGGATTGGTCTTGAGAGATGTACAAATAAGATAACAGTGTTTGGAAGGAGCCAGAGCTGTGCTAAGGAGTTGGTGTCTTATTCTGAGATGAGGTGCTGTTAAAAACCTATATAGGTGGTGGCACACACCTGTAATCTCAGCACTCGGGAGGCTGAGGCAGGGGGATCGCTGTGAGTTCGAAGCCAGCCTGGGCTACATAGAGAGTTCCAGGTCAGTCTCATCTACATAGTGAGACCCTGTCTCAAAACAAAACAAAACCGAACCAAACCTATAAAGTATATTGGCCATGTGATCTTCTTTCCTAACTAATTTTAGTCATCATTCTGTTCTGGTATATTTTTTCTTCTATCCTTCTTGACTTTGATTATTCATTCATCTCTTTCTAATCAGAAATTAACTTTGCACTAGGCCAATTAATTAGAAATTAACTTTGCACTGGCACTGAGGATATAATGAAGAGCCAGACAAATGAGGTCCCCAAGCAAATAGGGATAAGAGTCATGAAGAAAAGAAAACAGTTCTGTGATGGTGATTAGAGGGTCGGTCCTCTTTAGGCTAGGTAATGAGGGAAGATGGACTAACAAGAGGTTACCATGTATGTTGAGCTGGAGGCAGAGGAAGAGCAAACAGACCCTTCAGGTTGGTAATGAGCTTGTTGGCTTTGTGAAACCAAAGACTAGGATAGCTAGAGCTTGGCACATGATGGAGGGTAGTGGTAGGAAATGAATGAAAGTAGGCAGGATTCAGAATCACATAGGGCAGTGTGGGCCATGATGAGTTTAGTTCACAGTTGCAGGCCATTGGAGAGATCTAAGCAGTGCTCTGATTTATGTATTTAACATTGCTGTGTGTGTAGAGAATGACTGTTGTGAGAAATATTTTAGGAGGCAAGAGAAGGGGAGAAACCAGCTGATTCTATTGCACTCGTCTAGATAAGAGGATGGATTCTTGTGCTTTTAGTGGTTGCTGAAGAAATAGGTAAATTTGAAGTATATTCTGAAGGTAGAACCAATAGGAATGGATTGGAAGTGGGACGTGAGCTAAAGGGAGAAATCAGGAGAGACCCTAAGATTCTTGCTGCTTGTTAGTGGGGTTGTAATGCTACTAGTGGGTGGTGGTGCTCTTTACTAAAATGTGGATGATGACTAAGGGAGGTTCAGGGTGGGATGGGGGAGGGTAGAAATCAAGTGTTTTGGTGATGTTAGATTTATGAAGGCATCAGATATCTAAGGGAACCTTTTTTTCTTTGGTTTTTTAAGACAGGGTCTTGCTCATTGGCCTCAAACTCATTACCCCAAGCTGGCCTCAAAGTTGTGGTGATCCTCCTGCCTCAGCCTACCAGGTGTTTAGATTATGGGTTTGCACCACCATGCCTGGCCTAATTGTATATTATGTGTAGGCAGTTGGATAAAACTAGGTTGGAATTCTGGAGAGACTAGCCCTGAAAGTTGCAGTGATACTTGAAGCTGTGGAACTTAAAAGAGATTCTTAGAGCAGTGATGGCAGGGAAGACTAGAGAAGAAGAACTGACAGGCTCAGAACCTGAAACACAGCTGAGCATTTGGAATTGCATCCTGAGTTTTAGTTGAGAAGAACCAAGTTCTGGAAAATCTCCATTGAAGAAGCCAAAAAACCAATAGCATTATGGGATCCAGCAAAGACAATTTTTAAGTTTTTGTTTTGTTTTGTTTTGTTTCGTACTGGGGATCAAACTTGGGACCCCACAGCTTGCAAAGAGAATGTTGAGAGGGAAGTAGTGAACAGCTGTTTCGAATTCTGGTTGGAAGTCAGGACAAGGATGGAAAGGAATAGTAGAGGGGGCAGAAAAGTCACTGGTGAGCTCCACATGCAGTCCCGGTAGCGTGGTTGGGTTGGAAACTGGTAGGAGTGGGTTTAGGAGAGAATAGGAGGTGAGAAAGTCAAAAAAGTCACTTGGAATTTTTTGAGACACATTTGACAACTATATGTTTTAAAAATTTTTTAAAAATTGTATACAGCCGTTTGAAGGGCAAAGGGACTTAAAAATAATTTTTGAAACTCATTCTAGAATTTGAGCTTGTGAAGTTATAAAATTTCAAGTTTCTTTGTCTTGACATTTATGTCATCCAACAAAAATTGATAACAGCACTAATTAAGGTAAGGACCTAATGTTTAAAGTGTCACTGGTGGTGTGAGTGGGAAGCTTCTAAAGGGCATGAACCCAAGTATATCTAGGCATTTGTTTTCCTTTCATAAATTTTATTTTGGTATATGGAAAATCCTTTTTATTTTCCTCAGTTATGCTTTTTAAATTTAAAACATTGCTGGGCGTGGTGGCACATGCCTGTAATCCCAGCACTCGGGAGGCTGAGACAGGAGGATCACTGTGAGCCTGGGCTGCATAGTAAATTTAAGGCCAGCCTGAACTACATAGCGAGATCCTGTCTCAAAAAACAAAAATTTAAGATGTTATCATAGATTCTGTCTTTCCTTATATAGTAAGTATATTCTTGATCCTAAGGCAAACATTAAGAATTTTTAACCTCTGTAGGAAACTTCCTGTAAGAGTATAGCAAGCACCAACACCAGCGTGACACAGTATAAGAAAAGCAAAAATTGTGTGTGCCCAGGGAAAGCAGCGTTGTGATAGGAAACAGAGTGGCTGTGGTACCCAAACTAAGCCGATTTTCCAGGAAAAGGCCAAAACTACAAAGAAGGGTGTGCTGAGACGTGAGTGTGTTAAACCCAATTGCACGTCTGCGGGCTGGCTATTACGAGATGCACGCAGGTTTTTTTTGTTGTTATTTTTCTTTTTTGTGTGTTTTTTGGTACCCGTCCTTGCCCTTGCAAGGCAGGCAGCAGCACCACTGAGCTAAATCCCTGACCTGCAAGCAGTTTGAACTCGGAGGAGAAGAGAGGGCCAAGTCATCCAGTTCTAATCTTCGTCTTTTGTTTTATTATGAAGACAGTAAAATCTTGAGGTTATGTTAAAAAAATTAGTGATATCTTAGATGAAACGCAGTGTGATATGAATATATAAATATTTGACGCAAATGTTTAAATATATGTGTAGGTTCCTCCTTACCTGTGGTTTTGTTTTCCTCGTTGTCTGTAACCTATGGTTGGTAAAATTCCAGAAGTAAACAATTCAGAAGTTTTAAATTACACCCAGTTGAGAGTAGTGTGATGAAACTTCTTGTCCTCACTGGGACCTGATCTTTCCTTTTCCGCTGTATTACACTTATATATGCTACCTGCCCTTTAGTTCCCTTTGTGCTACCAGATCAAGGTATCCCAGAGCTTGTTTCAAGTAACTCAGATATCTTCAAAGTGAAAGACTAGTGATGCCGGCAATTTGGGTATTACAAATAAAAGCCATAAAATGCTTCCTTTAAAGTGAAAAGGTTGGAGCCCAGTATGGTGGTGCATATCTGTAATCCAGCATTGGGGAGGCTGAGGCAAGATCGCCATGAATTTGAAGACAGCTGGGCTTTATAGTTAGTTGAAGATGCCTGGACTACATAGTGAGACCCTGTCTCACAATAAATAGGAAATAGGTATTAAACCTGTATACGTACATGTAGGAAAAACATAGTTTGTACTGAGTTTGGTACTATCTGAAGTTTTGGGCCTGTGCTGAGCCCTTGAAACATCTACTATGGGTAAAAGGAGATACTGTACACATCTGCATACACTGGGCTCTGGCCTACTGCTAGGTAGAGCCTAGTGGACCCCTGTATATTCTACCTTTATTAATGTTTCCCTTAGAGACTTAACAGAAGACACAGGAGTAAAAGCAAAAATCAGCACAGTGTTATGCGCTTACTTTTACATCTCTTTCTCACTGAATATTTCTGTTGACTCTTTCACAAGAAGAACCATTGTCCTGTCCCATCACATCCCATCTGTCCCTGTCTGTGTCATCCCCCCACCCTCCTCGGGGATCAACCTGGGACCTTGCTCTTATAAGGAAGGCACAGCACCACTGAGCTAAATCCCCAGCCATTGTGTATTTTTCATTTGGAGTCTTTCTCCCCCCGTTTCATTTCTCTACCTCTTAAGAACAGTGTTTACTCACTAAAGTATACTGCAATAGAATTTTTAAAAAGAGTTCATTGTTTTCTTGTCAGTGTTAATCATCCCACTTTTTGACTATTAAGGAAATGCTTCTGCTTGTTTCATCACTATTGTTTAGACATCTAACTTTGGGTTTTTCTTCTAAAACTTTTTGAATGAAAAGCGATGGTTGTTGTACAGATTTTTATTTTATCACTTTTGTCCCTTCAAAAACCACCTACAATTCTGCTTATTGATTGATTGCAGTAGTGAGGATTGAACTGAGGGCCTTCACACCAAGCTGCATTCCCGGCCCTTTTTAATTTTTTAAGTTTGAGACAAGGTCTCCATGAGGTGCTGCGTTGCCTACATTGGGCTTGATTTTGTGGTCTTTCTGCCGCAGTCTCTCAGAGTGCTGGTATTGTAGGCATATACCAACATTCCCAGTTTCTACATTACAAATAAATATTGACCTTTTTAGGGCACTTTATATGTTGAATAGTGATGAATTGTTTTAACCATACAATAAAAAATATTCCAGTAGAGTTGTATTGCTATCTGGTGTAGGTTCCAGTCAATTTTATAACTTTTTTTTTCTTTTTTCTTTTTTTGTGGTGCTGGGGATTGATCTCAGGTCCTCGAGCTTGCAAGGCAGGCGCTGGAACTACAGAGCTAAATCCCCAACTCCAGTTAATTTTATAAAGATTAGTTTCTATTATTGTTGTTACATAGTACTACTTTCTCATAAATACATATTTGCCAGCTGTTATCAGTCAGATATTTAATAAAGTTTTTTTTAAATTAGGGTTTTTGTGATGTAAAATTGTAGTTTTGTGTCCTGTCCCCCCACCCCCACCCCTTGGTGCAGTACTAGGGATTGACTCCAGGACCCTCCTCACACTAGGCAAGTGTGCTAACACTGAGCTACACCTCCATCCTTATCCCGGGATACTTTGTTTAGATGTATTTTTAGCAATTCTTTTCTACTTTGCCTATGTACTTTTGGCCTTTGAAAGACCATAGTAAAGTTTATACACTCTCCAGTATAATAGACTATTTTGGAAGATAGGGAGATCATTTCAGTACTTAGTTATAAGTCTTAAATTTTTCTGTTTTTCCCAATCTTGATCCAGAAAAGCAATACATATAACTTAGTCTTTGTAGCACTACAAAGTACTATATTTGTAATACCAGTAGAAATTTTGATCAGGAGTGTATAAAGTTGGTTCATTTCTGTATTTTTTTAATAGTCCTGGGATACAGTTTATGAAGGACTGTGTTGCATTAAGTAGAATATATCCTTTTAAGAATAATATTGGAAGAGAAGAGAAGTGGTAAGGAGTAGTCCTCATCAAGTCTGAGTTTGAGGTTTTGTTTGGCTTTACATAACTTTCTGTTTTTTTTGTTTAAACGTCTTCACCAGAATTCTGTACTAATACTCATGGTCATGATTCTATACAGCTTTTAGTTCTGTTGAGTACACAGTGTTCTGAGGTACAGTCAGATTGGTTATACATCTTTTTTTTTTTTAAGTATTAGGCTTTCATAAGGTTTTACAGTCTCACCTTGTACATTCCTAGCTGTCAGTAATGTTTTTTCCTGGATTTTCTTCTCAGCAACCCGATAGCAGAAGGGTCAACTCTTCTGTTGGATTTTCTGTTTTGCAGCATACAAGCAATGACCCATATTGCTTTGTGGAATTTTATGAACACAGAGATGCAGCTGCTGCATTAGCTGCTATGAATGGGCGAAAAATTTTGGGAAAGGTAAGATAATAGAATGCTGGCACTTTATTAGTACATATATTTGCATGTTAAATTAGTTTGTATTCTTTCTTAGCAAATTTTTAAACAGATTCAGCTGCTGAGTGATGGTTTTGCTTTATTCAGCCTACTAGTTGTACAAAAATAACCCTGCTTAATAGATGATAATATGTCATAATGACATGCCTAATAATCGTATTAAATATAATCTTTATTTTTAGGAGGTCAAAGTAAACTGGGCAACCACACCAAGTAGCCAGAAAAAAGATACTTCCAGTAAGTACTCCTGCTGCATTTTACTGTGGAAGAGTTCTGAAATTTTCCTGGCAGCATCACCAGCTTAACTAGGGTGTTTTCCTCCTTCCTGTTGCCTAAAAATGGTTTAGTAGCTGGCTTCTTAAGTATTTGATTACCAAATGCTTTGATTTCAGATCACTTCCATGTGTTTGTTGGGGATTTGAGTCCAGAAATTACAACAGAAGATATCAAATCAGCATTTGCCCCCTTTGGTAAAATATCGTAAGTATCATAATCAGTACTACACTCAGTAGTAATAAACAAAATTGCTATGATTAACTTGTATTGAAATTAAGATTTTCTTTCTCTAGTTAGTGTATTTTTCTTTTGGTTTTTGTTTTTTCTTGATTTGTTTTTTGCGTAGATGTGGTTGCAAATGTTAATGTCATTTGAATGTTTTAGGGTCTTGTTTTCATATAAAATCCTGTGTATAATATGTTTAAAAATTTAAGTGATTCTGTTTGTTATCTTTGAAGCAAATGGTTAGGTGGTAAAACTTCAATGTCCAACTTTTTGTCAAATGTTTTTAAAAAATTGGTGGTTAAAGATAACAGGTTAATAAAAAGTAAATTGGTTCATACTGCATATTTTTTGGAGAATTAATAAATGGGGGAAGTAACTAAATCTTTGGTATATTGTGGTTAATTCAGAAATGTTTATGTTTATAATGATAAATATGTTTTGGTATTTTAACTATAAGTGAAAAGTAGTACTGTTACGGTATTAAAATGTTTTGTGTCTGAATCATGAATGTGGAGTTAATGAAGATTTTGTGTTATATTTGATTCTGTTGGGAATAAATTTACTTGATTTTTAACAAATTTCACTGTTACTTGATGAACTATATTGGGAAATTAAACATGATTACAAGTTCTATGAAGTATCACAATTTATCTGATTAAAATCAGTCTGTTCATATATTTCCTGTAGATTAAAATTTAAAAATTTAATACTGTGCAGAAATGTCTCAATTAAGAACAACAACTTTTTCTCTATATAATTTGTTGTTCTACAGATTTGATTTGAAAGATTTAATTCTTAATTTTCTGTTTTGATACTTGCTTTGCTTTTTAATGTAAATGTGGTAAGTAGTACTGTTTTAAAAATCAGTATAAAAATAATACAGGTTGCTGTTTTTCGATCTTTATATATACCTGAGACCTGCAGTTTTCTAAAGTCCAAGTCACAATTAAAAGTAATAGCATTCTGGTTATTTTGCAGAATTGCTCATAAGAATGGACAGGATCTTGAAGGCTAACTGCAAGGAACTGTGCACACTGGAACTCAGTTGTAGATTTTTTTTCTCATTTCTATTTATTCTTATTATACATTATTTATATATACATATTTTAGTATTTACATTTTAACATTCTATATTCAGTGGAGTTCTATATTTCCAATCATTTTAACTTACTCACTAAAATTTCTGTGTAAATTTGTTGTTTTCGTACTGGTGTGCTTAGCATTGTTGTTAGTTTTTTATTCTCCTTTCTTAAATTTCTGAAAATGTCAATTTTTCAAAATTTACAGCTGCCCAAACTCCAAAATGATGGTAGAGAATTGACCAAGAAAAATAAAGAAATCTGTTAACAGGCCATGTATGCCTTTTTAATTCCTATTTTTTCCTCTTTTTCAATTTTTTAATATTTCATATATTTTGTATCACTAGGCAGAAGACATTTAACTATTTAGAGATTGCATGGTAAAGTAGTTAGCATTGTTACAGTAATTTATAGAATCAGTAAATCTTAGAGGACACTAGCAAATAGAATATTAGAAGAGGAAACTATTGTTCCTATTAATCTTCAAATTTGAGCATTTAGTTTAGAAAGTACAGGCTATTTGATTAGGTTGCATGTTTATTACATGTTTTTGTCCTACTGCTTTTTTCTAACAGGTAAAGAAGCATTAGGGAGAGTTCAGGAATGGTTGTAGTTAATTAGGGCTAACTGAAATTTTATTTAAAAAAATGCTCAAAATACAGTGTGTGTGGTTCCTTTTAGTTTTTGTTTTGAAGGGTGACTTTTACTTCCCTCATTTAGCTGTGCTTCTTTTCACAGGGATGCTCGGGTAGTTAAAGACATGGCAACTGGAAAATCCAAAGGCTATGGTTTTGTATCTTTTTATAACAAACTGGTACGTTCTTTCAACTCAATCCTAAATTTAGTCAGTTTTAATATACAGCAATTGAAATTTGAATTATGTGTGGATAATAACTATATGTACAACTTTTACATAATTTGTGTGTTAATACAGTATAATTCATTCTTTAATAAACTTGAAAATAGATACTGGAAACAGAAAAGGGGGATTATACTATGAAGAAGATAGCAAAGTAGCATTTGTGCATTGGTGAAGGTAAAGTATATTAGAAGTAAAGCCCAAGACTAAGACAAGACAGGTAATCTGAGAATTTGGATGGGAGAAGTAAGTTACATACATTCTTAACCATGGAAATATGAGTTTTAATTGAAATTGTCCATACTTTTATAACTGGATGTTAATGACTATAGTAATTATGTACGTGAAAATTTAAACAGTTTGTCTTGATTTTTGGGCAACTTCTTTTAAGAAAGAGGTAGTAAAATAAGCACTTGCTTTAACTAACGGTAATAAAGCGGGCTTTAATTTTAGAACAGTTTCAACAGTTTAAATTACTTAAATGTTAGTAAAGTGGTAAGGTAAAAGGCTAGAGTTAATTTAAATTGTCTTAAATTAGTCACATACATTGATTTGGATAATCCAAACTCATTTTTTATTGACAACTCATAACATTCTTAATTATAATTCAAGACTTTTGTCTTAAATGAGTTTTTAACCTGTCACAGTCATAATTACTGGTAATAATACAGGATAGACTTTTTAGAGGTAGGAAATTTAAATTGTTAGTATTTTTACATTTTCTTCAGTAAATTTTACATTAAAAATCAACCATAAAATTAAGAAATTTGAAAACTACTTTGTCTTGTGGGATTTATTTTCCTTTTAATTTAGGAAACTAATATTTAAGAAACTAATAAATTTTTTGAATAATTAGTGTGACTTTTTTCCTTGCATATTTGAATAAGGATATGTTTCCCTTAAATTTAAATATTATCCTAGTATTTTATAATAAAAAGTAAAAACACTTACTGAAATTCATAATTGTTTTCTTTTTGGTAATAGTTTTAATTTTTTTAAAGGATATTTAATGAATTCATTTGCAGATGAGATTTTATGGAATCAGCATTGCCAACTTCTATTTCATCTTACCAAAGCTAACATGCCATTCTTTTCTTTGTGTTTGTTCTTTTTTTCTCCATAGGATGCAGAAAATGCAATTGTGCATATGGGAGGTCAGTGGTTGGGCGGTCGACAGATCAGAACTAATTGGGCCACACGTAAACCACCTGCACCAAAAAGTACACAAGAAAGTAAGCTGTCTCTGCTGTGCATGTCAAAATTAAAATTCTTCACAAATTATATATCATTGTAGCCCCCCACCCCTTTTTTGAGACAGAGTTTCACTATTTAGTTCAGGCTGGTCTTGAGCTCATTACATAGCCCATGCTGGCCTTGAACTTATGACAATCCTTCTACTCCAATACTGAGATTATAGGAATGCACCGCTATGCCCAACTGAATTTCTTAATAATTAATATATTTTTATTAGTAAATGCTAAGTTTATGAAATAGTGGATTTAAAATGTGGTCTTTGCGTATATGCATATAACATTTTCATCATAGCCACTTTCTCTGTTCCTGTTTTTTGTTTGTTTGTTTTGTTTTGTTTTCTTGTACCAGGGATCAAACTTAGGACCTTGCACTTGCTAGGTCACTTGCTCACTTGCTTCACCGCTGAGCTAAATCCCTGGCCCCCTGGTACATTTTTGAAGCTGTGAACTAATGTTATAGATCAAATGTATATCAAATCAAAGCAATGAGAAAAAAAATTATAATTTCTCCTACTGTTGAGACATTTTACTAGTATATAGTAATAATAAAAGATAGTGGTATTTCATGCATTCTCGGCAAGTACTCTGTTACTAAGCTATATACTTAAAGCCCAAAAGGTAATTTTATAACACTTTGAGTAAAAGCATTTTTCCTTTTTTTCTGCATATAGATAACACTAAGCAGTTAAGATTTGAAGATGTGGTAAACCAGTCAAGTCCAAAAAATTGTACTGTGTACTGTGGAGGAATTGCTTCAGGGTTAACAGGTACAGGGGTTGGATTTTCTGTGATGACTTTCTCTGTGGGGCTTTATCACTTCATGATGTATGATTCTTAAATTTGTATTTTTGTATTTGTGTTTATATTTGTATTTTTTTTAATAGATCAGCTTATGAGACAAACATTCTCACCATTTGGCCAAATTATGGAAATAAGAGTTTTTCCAGAAAAGGGCTATTCATTTGTCAGGTAATATTCTACCTGTAATATTAGCAGTGGTCTTATATTGGATGTATTTCTTTCACTTATATTTTTTGACCCTTTCCAGGTATCAGTTTATTATTTTAGTATTTCTGTATTATTTATTAAGTTCTTAAAATACAAGACACAAAACTTCATTATTTTCTCCTAGATTTTCTACCCATGAAAGTGCAGCCCATGCCATTGTTTCAGTAAATGGTACCACGATTGAAGGACATGTGGTTAAATGCTATTGGGGTAAAGAATCTCCTGATATGACTAAAAACTTCCAACAGGTAATTTTAATTTTTCATAACACTTTTTAAGGTTTCCATCTCACATGTCTAAAGAAAGGCTTTGGAAACTGTAAACAGTAAATTAAAATAAAGCATTTAGCTATATTCAGTTGATTGTATTAATGCTATTTTAAAGTTGATTATTTTGCGGTATTAACTGAATCTTAATACTTTCTTTTCACAGGTGTCACCACCCCAATAAACTTAGACAATGATAAATAACAGAGTCCTATTCACATAAGGGTGCTTACTTAGTTTTTCTCTTCCTTGTCTCCCACTCTTTCTTCAAATACGGTGTTTCTTACTTGTTCCTAAAACACTGATTTGCTTTTTCCTAGGTTGACTACAGTCAGTGGGGCCAGTGGGGCCAAGTCTATGGAAACCCCCAACAGTATGGACAATATATGGCAAATGGGTGGCAAGTACCTCCTTACGGAGTATATGGGCAGCCGTGGAACCAACAAGGATTTGGAGTAGAGTAAGTTTGGTTTACAGTTTTGACAAAGTGCAGTTTCCTAGAGAAGATCTATGTAAATTTTGTACAGTGAGCTGGGGATTTGGTTCGGTGGTTCTGCCGCCTGCCTCAAAAGTGTAAGAGCCCGAGTTCAATCCCCCTTACCAAAAAAGTCTATGTATGTGGGTGTGTGTGTACATACAGTGAAATACTTGGATTATGAACATAGAAACAAATCTAATAAAATATGATTTATAATCTCTTACTATCTAGGTAAGGGATTATTTTGGGGTAACATTTGGTGTGACCTATCTTTGTAAGTGGCTTATAGAATTTTACTTATATCTTTACACTTTTATTTTTTGTATTTATAAAATTTTTTGTCTAGACATGCAAAAAATTTGTGGGTGTCTTTTGTTATTTGTTTTGAGATAGGGTCTCCTTATATAGTTCGGACTGGCCTTGAATTGCCTGTGTAGCCCAGGCTGGGCTCTAACTTACGGTGATCCTCCTGCCTCTGCCTCCCAAAGTGCTGTGTTACAAGTATGCGCCACAATGCCTGCTTAGAAATTTCTTGGTTTTATGCTTGTTTGACAACACATAAGAAATCTCAGAAATTTATTTTATAGAAAGTAGCATACTTTTTACTTTTGATTTTTTTGGTACCAGGGATCGAACTCGGGTCCTTGCGCTTGCAAGGCAGGCCACCGAACCGCTGAGCTAAATCCCCAGCCCCTACTTTTGTTGATAGAATGGTTGGTTGCTTCTCATTTTTCCCTCAGGCAGACCTCGACCTTTTATTTTCACTAGTTCTTTCTTTTGAAACTCTGCAACATGAATGGTGTTTTTAAAATTTTTTTCGATAGGTTACATATGCAGTGTTTGTTGGGTAGATGGTATGCAGAATCTTTTATTTTTTTATCTTTGGTAGTAGTGCTGAGGATAGAACCCAAGGACACTATACCACTGAGCCCCCTTTTTTATTTTTAAAATATTTTTTATTTTATTTTTAGACAGTATCTCACAAAGTTGCCTAAGTGAGACTTAAACTTATGAGCTTTCTGCCTCGGTCTCCCAAAGTACTGGGGTTGTAGGCAACATTTACCATTTTTAAAAAATAAGTATTCAGGGCTGGGAATTTAGCTCAGTGGCTCTGCCACCTTCCTTGCAAGCAAAAGGTCCCGAGTTCGATCCCCAGTAGAAAAAAAAAAAGTATTCAGATACTCTTCAACGATACCATTAGGGCCGGGGATTTAGCTCAGTGGTTCCGGTGCTTGCCTTGCAACTGCAAGGACTAGAGTTTGATCCCCGGTACCAAAAATATATATATATACCGTTGTGCTAAGTGTGGTTATCTTAAAACTTTAAGACTGACAGTGAGACTTGTATCATTTATTTCTTTGATCTATTTGTTGTAGGTTTGTTGATTTCTAATTGTCTGTTTTTCTATGATTAAACTCTGCTTGATTTTGTATGCATCTATAGATGTTTATTGTTTTGATGTTTTTCTTGTTGTATTTGCTGAAGATTCTTCTTTTTTCTCCCAAGTCAATCACCTTCTGCTGCTTGGATGGGTGGATTTGGTGCTCAGCCTCCTCAAGGACAAGCTCCTCCCCCTGTAATACCTCCTCCTAACCAAGCTGGATATGGTATGGCAAGTTACCAAACACAGTGAGCTGGGACTCTAAACACAATTGTAATTCATGATAGGCTTCGATTTCCTGTGACACTCTGAAGACATGAACGTAGACATCGGAAAATGAAAATATTTATTTTAAAAATTGAAATGTTTGGAACCTTTAGCACAGCTTTGCTTTGGTGAAGGACACATGTCTTCTAGTTCTGCCTTTTTAAGTTTTTGTTCATGATGGATATGAACATGATTTTTCTTTGTGTACAAAAACTAAAATAAAGTCAATAAAGACAATTCTGACTACAAATTTTGATATAATAGGAGAAATGGGTAATACATTTTGATTCTTAGATACTATTCCATTTTTATCTCGCTGTTCAGTATTTTAACTCACTGTTTTTAAAAGAGCAAAAAAAAAAAAAAAAGGGAGGATCGTGAAAAACTGGGAATCACATAAGCTCATCCTGAATCCTGATACTCCCCTTCCCTCCCCTGAGGTGGACCACATTTGAAGTCAGCAGAAAAAGTATGATATTCAGAAGAAATGCATGATTTTGGAATCACTTTGAAGGAAGATTTACTTTCTCTATGCCTAAAGAAACTGAAGCCAGACTGAATTTTTGCAACCCATATAAGGAACAATGTTGTCTGAGTTACTTGAGCAAATTGTGGTCCACATTTAAGACATATTTTTAAAACTTTAAAAAGTGTTGATTATTAAAACTGTAGTATATTACATTTCCTGGTGGGGGGGGTTCCAAGTATGGCGTTTGTATTAAAGTCAGACAGTCATACTTGTGCTTTTACATGAAGTTCAAATGATATACATTGTAAATACTGAATAACTACAGTGTTTAAAAAGCATGCTTCAGCATAGAAGTAGCAACAATGTAATTATTTGAAATAACACTTAACATACTCCATTGCATTGAATGCAGTGGGTTGATAGAATGTTTAAGACTGACATTTCCAAGATTGGCTATGTAAAATTAAAATGACACAAATCCTAAACAGAAAAAGCCTTAATTTTTATTTCATACAAATCTTTGATGCATTACTACTTATAAAGTGTTGTTAGATTATTTTTCTTTTTTTTTTTTTTTTTTTGCTTTATTTGGTATGTAAATACTTTGATTTAAACCTTGTAAGACAGTTTCAAGGTTGCTATAAGTTGTATAGCACAAGTGTTTTTAAAAAATCTTGGGGTGTTTTTAAAAATTAGATATATTTTACCCAAGAATTTTTTTAACAAGATTGCTAAAACATTTTATTTAGACACTTTGATGTACCAATTTATAATTGGATATTGAGTTTAAATAGTACCCAAAGTAGTGACTTAGTTACTTTTTTTTCCTGTGGGGAGGTGTGCATGGGATGATGATCCTGAACAGAGGCTTGAGTTGTATGTTTGCAGTTTGTAAATGAATCCGTTGGGAAAATGCAGAAGATTGAGGTTTGCTTCCAAGGTATTTTTCAGCCTACGTAAATAAAATATGCCTCCGATTTCTATAAAACAGGACTGTAAAATAGATAAGCTCCTCTGTACTTAAATTGACAGCTAGGGGGTGCACATTTTTTGACAATGCATTCAGAAAGTTGGCCTGTGTGCCACACGCCAAAGTGAGGAAACATACTTTACAGTTAAGCAGTAAGGTGCAGTGCTGCTGGGATCATCAAATTGCCATTTTTTAAAACCTTTGAAGTCTTACAATTAACTTTAAAGTAATGATTTTATATATTGATCATAATAATGTTGGTATTACTTTTGTCTTTTCCCCACTTAGAAATACAGCCAAATGTATTCATAAAAGATTCTGAAGTTATCTTTAAGCCAAATTTTTTATAGCACAATAGCTGTCTGTTGCACTCTTCTGTTCTCCCCTTATGCCCTTGTTTCTTTTATTCACACTATACTTGAGGAATAATTTTTGAAAAGTTACTTTATATTTTATAGGAAGAACACTCAAATTATATTATGTCCCTGAATTAAAGTTTTCATGAATATTTTTGAAACATGAACTAGACTTTTTTTTTATAAAAGCCTGTTAAATTTTTAGTTTGCCTTTTTTTGCTGTGCCAGTAAAGTGGCTTAATGAGATAACAGCAAAATACAACTATAGTGTTTCCTAGTTGTATATTATGTAATTTAATAAAATTATCCAGACTAATTATATTGCCATAGTAAAGATGTGACTAAAGTGTCCTTTGTCTTAATCTGGATAAGAACAAGATTTCATGATTAGTTAAAGCTATTTCATGTTGAACAATTTCAAAACGCAAAGCTACTTATCCAAATGAAATGTACCATTTATAAAATAATGACTGTCAAGCTAAAATAGACTCAGGCTATTTTACAACACAAATTGAAGTCTGTACTATCTTGGTTGAATATAAGCGTAAGAGTCGTTGCCTTTTCTTTCCCATGTTCATTAAAGATAGCAGCAGAGATTCTTTGGCACACAAGGAAATGTTTTTTATTTAATATTTTTTTTGAGATTTATTTTGATGTGTTTCTGCCTGCCTTTTTTTTTTTTTTCTCAAATCATCTCTACTAGTATTTCCCCCTGCCATTCCCACCTGATTTTTATGCTTGCTGGCAGTGAAAGGCCAACTAAAGCCAAAGCTGTAAACCACAGTTGAAGTAAGTCTTTAAATAAAGACTAGACTATATGATAAGTGGCTTTTCTTATTGTCTTTTATTACATAATTGGTCTTCTATGCTACTATGAAATAAGCAGTTTGGTTTTATCTCTAAGGTCTGAGGAATACATACATACATACTTAGGACTTCTGAGTTCTATAAGTGTTAAAAGTCCATTAGCCTTATTGAGTTAAAATTTAACCTTTGAATATGGAGGATAGAAAGTTGCGTCCTTCTAGAAATACATGTTCTGTTGAATATTATAGTAAAATCTCATTAATTTGGAGTCCACAGTGTGGAAACTTCTGTTTTACTGTGTCTACATTGGTCTTTGTTGATATGACAAAAGAATAGGAAAGGGCTGGCTATGCAGCTCAGTGAGCAAGTGTAAGGGCCTGGATTCAACCCCCAGTACCACCAAACAAAAGAAAAAAAAATACAACAAATATTTGATACTCTGAAGGAGGTATGGCCAAATTAAATCTTCCGGCATGTGGGCTTATACGTCTAGCATTTATTTGTATATTATAAATATTAACTTTGTGTTTTTAATATGTATTAGATGATAATTCTTGATTTAGCCTTTTACTAGTTTTTCACTTAAATGGTCCAAATGAGGGTGTGTATCCTGCTATATTTGGTAATAAGATATCCTAGTAATTTTTGTAATAATACAAGTTAGCCATCTGTTTGGTTTTCAAGGAATAATTATGACTTTAAAATTTTGTTCCAAGTTGTAAGTTAGTGGTGTTGAAATGCCATATTGATAGGAAACCGTGGCTCCCATTTTCTACTGAAGTTGGGTTTGAGAGAGGATGTAGATAGGTACTATCATAAGGTACTTTGTGCAAATACCTCTTTTAGGCCAAGAATGTAAAGTTCAATTTAGGTAATAGGGGTGGGGAAATAATATAGTTTACCTTAAAGGGAAAAAAGGCACTAATAATGACCCTTTGTAGAACTCTAGGCTTTTATATGGGAGAGATAATCTATAGTTTTTATGCTTTGATTTTTAAAAAAACATCAGACTGGGTGGGGGATTTAGCTCAGTGGTTCCACTGACTGCCGTGCAAGTGCAAGGACCTGAGTTTGATCCCTGATACCAAAAAAAAAAAAAAAAAATCAGATTAATAGTTGACAAATGGCACATATCCAATAAATGGTTTCCTTCATGTTCCAACTTAATCCCAATAATGAACTTTTACAATTTTTGCATTTATTTCTTGGATTGTCCAACCTGATTTTGTTATGTTGCCTAGGTTGGCCTTGAACTACTGAGGGGCTCAAGTGATTCTCCCTGAATAGCTGGAGCTAACAGCATGAGCCCAGTTTTTTTTTTTTTTTAATCTATCAATCATTGTTTGAATTTCCTCTGGGCAGGAACGACTGAGCTAAATCCCCGGCCCCCAAATTTCCTCTGGAAAAATGATCCATATTTAATATTTTTGTTTTGCCTTTCCTTATGGTGCTGGGGATCAAACCGAAAGCCTTGTGCATATGAAACATGCTTTGCCACTGATCTATACCCTCTCAGTACCCTCCCCCACCCTATTCTAAAGAGTCTTACTAATTTGCTTAGACTGGCTTTGCACTCCTAGGATCCTCCTACCTCAGCCCATATTTAATGTCTTGAAGTAATCCTGGAAAGTGTACAGAATAAATAGAACTGATGCTTTTTTTATCACTGTTAGAGGAAAGCCAAATTTCTCCTGGTTAAGGTGTCCAATTGTTGAGCTTGCAGCTGAGCTTGGCTTGCTTGTGGACCTCTTGTCTTCTTCCTTCTTGTGAACTGATAAAAGCCTAGTTATCAAGTGGTGCTGTAGAATTGTGGAATTTTTAAGATAAACCAGATTTTACTATATATAACCAGTAGATAACCATAACCTGTCAAACTGATTTTTCCCCGTTACCTTTATTAGGTTTAGGTATACCAATACAGAAAAGTCCAAAATCATCTAAGCAAGTAGGCATAAAATACGTAACTGTATCTTTCTGCTGAGAATTGACGTGTACATTCCAGATTTTCACATTCAGTTAACTGGTAAGAGTTGTGAGTTGAATTCTTCCATATGTGGTTTACATGATTTTGCTCAACAAAATAAAGATGATGCCTAGGTTTCAACACAGGTAAAAGAATACTAAAATTCTCCATTTAGTAATCTTAGTTTGCTTCCTTTTGAAAAAGTAAACTTGAAAAAATCTTAACTGGTTTCCTTTTGGTAGTTATATTTTAGTATATGGCATAGCTCATGCTTTGTATCTGTTTTAACAAAGATTCGAATTGGGAGCAGAATGGTGACTAGGACACTGAAAGAGAAGAGAGCCCTGAGTCAGGAGAACATAGACATGGGCTTTGACAATCCTGGGCAGGAGTAGTAAAGCATGGATAATTGGTTTGGGTGTTGATGTGCAATATGTTAATTGGTTCAATACTGTACACATCAACAATACTAAAACTTACTGGGTATTGAGAATAAAATATTAGAAATACTTTTGCTGAAATATGGCCCTGCTAGTTTCTTTTCAATTTCCATTAAAAGGCATTGTCATGTAATGTGTGTTCTGCATGTGTATTGGAATGTTGGGTAAAAGTTACTGTTGAGCATGTATAGTAAAATGATTGAATTAGATTCTTTAAAATTCACATTTAGTCTGTTATACTATGGGATATATTTTATTTTTTAGAAGGG